AGGCACACGGCTGGTGCGGTGGCTCACAACTGTAATCCTAGCTGTCTGGAAGCGGAGGCGGCAGATTGCTCCAGGTCAGGAGTTGAAACCAACCTGAGCAAGAGCGAGACCCCGTCTCTACTATAAATAGAAGAATAATTGGCAACTAATATATATAGAAAAAATTAGCTGGCATGGTGGCACATGCCTATAGTCCCAGCTACTCGGGAGGCAGGCAGGAGGATTGTTGAGCCCAGGAGTTTGCGGTTGCTGTGAGCTAGGCTGAAGCCACAACACTCACTTTAGCCTGGGCAACAAAGCCAGACTCTGTCTCAAAAAAAGAGGGTTACAAATACCTTTATGGTTAAACCTTTGCTTTTTTTTGTTTTTCTGAGACAGAGTCTCAGTCTTTTGCCTCGGCTAGAGTGCCATGGCTTAGCCTAGCTCACAGCAATCTCAAACTGTTGGCTCAAGCGATCCTCCTGCCTTAACCTCCCAGTAGCTGGGACTACAGGAACGTGCCACCTTGCCTGGCTAATTTTTTCTTTTTAGTGTTTGGCTAATTTCTTTCTATTATAGTAGAGGCAGGGTCTCCTCTTAGGCTGGTCTAGAACTCCTGAGCTCAAGCAATCCTCCCCCTCGGCCTCACAAAGTGCTTGGATTACAGACGTGAGCCACCATGCCCAGCCAAAGCTTTGCTTTTACACACAACAAAATTTGCATTTTCAAGGTGCCTTCCTTCAGTAGCCTATCAACCCATCGCAGGTGGAGGCAGAAGTGAGATGGGGTAAAATGAGTGAGATTCAGACCTGTGTCTGGAGGCAGGATAATTTGCTAGCTAAAGCAGACGCTAAAGCCCTCATCTGGAACCTCTTCTCTAGCTGACTTATGGGGCCAATGAACAATACCTTCTCTTGCCTATTAGGGCAGGCCATGTCAGAAACAGGTTCAAGACTGTCTAGGTCTACAAACACCAAAGGACTTATTCAGAAATCCATCAGTTAGATCAACTGACATTATTTTAGCACTTCTAATGTGCCAGGAAATTTCCTCTCCTAGCTCTACTTCCCAAATGACAGTTGCTCTTGTTCAGTGACCTGTGGAAAAGCTTGACTATGCATTTCAAAGGGCATCAGAAGACGCCCAGTGGCAGTCAGCATCTGAGAACCCCGTTTTGTTTAGTGGGCACAGTGGAAAGTGCATGAAATGGGGAGAGAGAAGTCTTGGACTTTAGTAACAGCTACTCTTGTCACGTGCGACTACAGTCCAGTCACTTAACCTCTGTGAATCCTTTTCCTTCCCTGCAAAATGCAGATGACAATATCAGCTTTGTCTACCTACACAGGGTGAGAAAATCAATGAGATGCTAGAAGTGAAAGAACTTTGTTAATTCTTTATATACCCATACAAGCGATGAGAATCATCAGCAATTTGTGTAGATAACCCAGTGTGGTTGTTATATTAAAACACAGTTATTCAGGCTGGCGTGGTCACGCCTGTAACCTAGCACTCTGGGAGGCCGAGGCAGGGCGGATTGCTCGAGGTCAGGAGTTCGAAACCAGCCTGAGCAAGAGCGAGACCCCCGTCTCTACTAAAAATGGAAAGAAATTAATTGGCTAACTAAAAATATATAGAAAAAACTAGCCGAGCATGGTGGCGCATGCCTGTAGTCCCAGCTACTTTGGGAGGCTGAGGCAGAAGGATTGCTTGAGCCAGGAGTTTGAGGTGTGCTGTGAGCTAGGCTGACGCCATGGCACTCACTCTAGCCTGGGCAACAAGCCTCGGCAGACTCTTCTCAACAAAACAAAACAAAACACAGTTATTCTATTTGAAAGCAAAAACATTATTTCATCTTTTGTTATCATTGTCAACATATGGCGTGGCAAAACCAGACATAATTAAGGAATTCCAAAAGAGAGACAGAGAAGGAATAGAAAATTTCAGCACAAGCCAACTCCCATCAATTGACAATGGATACCTTGAGCACCGTGTTAGTGAAGATTCTGAGGTTGCATGTCCCATTCTCATAGAATATGAGATAATCATCCTGTATTGGGCATCTCCATTCTTGATTTCTTCATTCCTCAAAACAGTTCTGTGACATGGATTCTATATTCCCCATAACCATAATCACTAGATTGAAAATTGGTCTTATTATAAGAAAAATTAAAATACTTTATGGAGTAGAAACTATCAGGCATCTTTACAGATTGGCAGAGTAGAGAGGGATTTTATGTATAATCTAGTTAAGGTCCCTCATTTGACAGATATGATTTTCTGTAATGTATCATGGTTTATTGGTAAAATAGAAATGTGAAAATACAGTTTCCTCTGTCTCTGCTTGTTGTAGTTTTTTATACTAAGTATAATAGTTTAATGAAGTATGAAGTATAATCAGAGGTCCAGGGAGTGGAGGGACACAGCTCTGACCTGGTGTTATTAAATGAGATAATGAATGTGAAAGTGCTTTGAAAACTACAAAGCTATACACAAATGCAAAGCATTTTGAGACCCATATTAATTTGTTTATGCTTTTATTTATGCACAGCTATTAGCTATTGCTCAAAAGTGATTCCCACCCCCAAATCCAACCTGATCTTATCTTTTTCCTCATGTTTATACCATGGATGTCTGAAGAAGCTCAATTAGGGAGGCCTTAAATTAAAAAGCTTACGAAACCATCTGATGGTATCTTTTAGAACCTGTGGTTGGAAAATCATCTTTTATATTTTAATTATTTTGGTTTCCTGACTATAAAACGATGGCTCTAAAGTGGAAAAAATACTGACTATGACACACACACACAAAAATGTTTCCTTAAAGAAAATAAAGACTAGATATTAATCTTTTTTTCCAGTAGAAGAAATTTCACAGTGAGAAAAGTAGCAGACACAGCTTTTTAAATAAAATAGCCACTGCTTAGTTTTTATGCTTCATATTTTTATGGTGAAATGTATTGCCTTTAACAGATAGCAGGGTTTTGTTATTTTTTTTTTTTTTTACCAATTCTTATATTCTAAACTTTAAAATGTCTTATCACAAATGCCAAATAATGCGAGACTCCCTCATCTTTAAATAACTTTTAGTGGATAAAACCTATAAAATGAAGATGTAAAAGTTCTATCTAATCTAAACACTAATTTTCCTTTTAACAGGCATGAAGGATATGTACCAAGCAGTTACCTGGTAGAAAAATCTCCAAATAACCTGAAAACCTACGAGTAAGTTTTTGGTTTTTTGTTTTTTTGTTTTTTGTCTTTGGAAAATAGAGTACCAAGGAAAGCTCCCTAGGTTAGGAGTAAATTATTGGTTAACTATAAAAATACCAGATATTTGCTTTTCTTGACTCACTTTCTTCTCCCATGCTCTGATCCCTAAATAAACAGTAGGGGATCACCCTAAGTGGAAGGAAAAGATGGTATGTGCACTCACCTACCTTTTTTTTATCAAAGGGATGATTCTCAGATACTTGAGCAGATTGTAGTAAAAAGACAAGGTTCTACTGGGAATACCAGGAATATTGTTCTTACTTGAGAAGCAAAAAACACTGTGAACACTGGATCAAATATAAATTGACTTAAAACATGGTTTAATGCAATGCTTCCAATACTGAAACCACAGATGTACAAATAGATATTAAATATCTGCTTATATCGTATGAGTGTTTATTTCCAAGCCATCATTTAGAAGAAGAGTTCACATGGATATAATTTTAATGGAACTACAGAAAGTTTTATAAAATTCAATTGTAGCATACAAAGTATTCATCATGTATATATATATCTCCTAGCTCAGGAGCTGAAGGCCCCAGAAGCAGCAATACCTTGATAGCAATGTGCACATTGCCACCCAGATCTTGGTTTCTAAATAACATTCGCCACTGAAAGGAATGAGGACTTCTTGGAGAAATGGCTTGGGATTCTAGAGTTAGGGAAGAGAAAGCACAAGATGAATTTGGAATATCTTGTTGTACTGGAAAGAAAAGAAGTCCTCAAAAAGAAATTTTTATAACGATATGGACATGTCAAATGGGCACAGAAGTCAGTTGTAAAAGACTGATCAAATCTGGGACAACTTGAGTATCAAAATAAATAATGACAGTATCGGATTACAAACCATTGAAAGTAATATAAGAGTCCATAATAGCTAAGTTGATAGATAAGACAATAAATAAGATGAAAAAGCTATTTCTTATAGTAGAATGTCAACTAATCAATGATAAAGTTTAAAAATCACCATTTTGGGACTCAAAGTACCAACTGATTTGGGCAAGAATCATCAATGAATATCACAACTAGGGGGTGAAAGTTTGCTGAGGCACAGTACATTGATGTGGCCTCAAAGTATTTCCTCACAAATCACTTATAATTACAAAGCAGAGATAAAGATAACTGGTAGACCTCATCTTAAACAAGTGATCGAAGTTCACATCAATAATGGAGCAAACAGACATCATGTGTCTCCTTATGGGATGCATTGAAAAAGATACAATACCACTTCTATGATATTCCTGCTCAAAAAATATGTATATAACTTGAATTTACTATGTGGCTATATTAGACAAATCCAAACTAAGGAATGTTCTATAAAATAAATGTCCTGTGCTCTTTAAAAAATGTTAGTATCATGAAAGACACAAAAGGCTGAGAAATTAGCCCACATTAAAGGAGGCTAAAGAGACGTGGTCACTAAATTCACTGGCAATCCTGGATTGGATATAGAACCCTAAAAAATATCTTTTAGGTTACAATGCATATTATTGGTACAGGTGATGAAAATTGAATAAGGTCTGCAGTTAGATAATAGTATCGCATGGATGTCAAATTTCATGATTTGGGTAATCGTGCTATGGTTATACAAATGCATATTCTATGTCTTAGGAAATAGATACTGAAGTACTTAGGAGCAAAAGACAACTCTTAAATGATTCCGAAAAAATATGTCTATATGTCTATTTAGAGGACTAGTAAAACAAACTTATAAAATGTCAGCAATTGGTTCATCTGGGTGACGTGTATGTGGGAGTTCTTTTATAGTATTTTACAACTGTTCTGTAAGTTTGAAATTATTTAAAGATAAAAATATTTGAAGTACTCACTAAATATAAAATACCAAGGCTGAAGAATACAAGCTAATGAGGACTCCTATTAATGCATTAGGGTTCTCAATAGTTCAAATGTGGTTATTTGTTGCTGAAATTCTGATAGATTTTGTAGTGAAGAGCTATCATTTTCTAAGAGTCTCTCAACCTGAGACTTGTTTTGATCAAGTATGTGTGAACAGCCCTTCCCTTAGCTAGCAGATGAATCATCATCTCCAAGAATACTTGACTTGAAGCGAAACATATATGAGCTATGCTTAAACAAAATCAAATTCCTTTTTTTTTCCAAATAGTCAATTCCTTTGCAGAAAAAAGAATAGGCATTTATTTCAAATGACCACTAGGCTGGGTAGTTTTGTTTGTTTGTTTTTGCTTTTAATCAGATTCTCTTTGTTTATGATTATGAATGCAAACTCCAAATTCCAACAGAATATCAAGCAATAGGGAATGGTAGAGTCTGGAGCACATAAAAAAAGTATATTGCCCCATCTAAAGGCATTTTAAGCCATTTTAAAAAAAAAAACCACTATCAAATCCTAGATTCTTTCCAAAAATTAAAATATAGAAAAAAAAGAAAAAAATAAATAAATATAAAATAAAATAAAAATAAAAAATAAAACACTACACGATACAAACCCACAGGGCCCTATCTACACTGTGAGGTGTCAGTTTGCATTTTCCAGAGTATAGAACTGTTCGAAAATAAAATGATAATGACTTACAAGCAAACATTCAGATATTTAGTATGAGATATTTAGTATATACGGCTGGATATATAAAAGATAGCCAGGATGATGACCTTTTATCCTTGAACTTAATGTTGTCTAGTTTCAGGTGAGAGCTGCGTAAGAATTTTAAAATATACCGTCTGGAAACATAATCCTGGGTTGTTAAATTGATTGGATCAGATCTCCTGCTTTGGTTCGGAATCATGACCTTGGACAAGTTTCCTTACCCTGTTTTAGCTCAGATCTCTTTTCCATAAAATGAAGGGTCACATGAGATGAAGGAAGGCATATCATGACACTCTTGCTGACATTGCCTTCCCATGCACTGAACTCAGGTAGACATCACTCTTTGTTTTTTGAGACAGGGTCTCGTTCTCTTGCTGGGGTTAAAGTACAATGGCATCATCATAGTTCACTGCAACCTCCAAATCCTGGGCTCAAGTGATCCTCCTGCCTCAGCCTCCTGAGTAGCTGGGACTACAGGCATGCGCCACTACACCCAGCTAATTTTTCTATGTTTTGTAAAGAGAAGGTATCTCACTATGTTGCTCAGGCTGATCTTGAGCTCCGGGCCTCAAGCGATCCTCCCACCTCGGCCTCCCAAAGTGCTGGGATTACAGAAGTGAGCCACAGTGCCCAGCCTAGACATCACTCTTTGATAGTGACACTATCATTCATCCACTCTGCCCAGACTGATGATAACCTTTTTAATGCACAACTCTAGGCAGCCACGACTAACTGCTTGCTGCTTGCATGTGAAGTGAAACCTATTTGTCAGTTCTCAATTAGATAATCCCTAGGAGTGCATGGAGGGATAAAAATACGGTTCCATCATATAATGTTCAAAAAGCTCAAATGAACCCACTAATTGTATTATTCATGGCTACTCTCAAATAGCCAAACAAGTTTGGTAAAATGGTATTCCTTCTCCACCTATAACTTCTTTCCTCCTGGATTTATTAATTTTCAAAACTAATTGTTAACTGATGATCATTGTGCCTCCTCTTACCGAGGATGTAGCCAGGGAGGCCAGGATGTGGCTCAAATATTGTTAACAACATAAAAAATTTTGTCCCAGGCCAGGCGCGGTGGCTCCCGCCTGTAGTCCTAGCTCTCTGGGAGGCCGAGGTGGGCAGATTGCTCAAGTTCAGGAGTTCGATACCAGCGCTGAGCAAGGATGAGACCCGTCTCTACTATAAATGCGAAAGAATTAATTGGCCCAACTAAAATATATATATTAAAAAATTAGCCGGGCATGGGTGGCACGTGCCTGTAGTCCTAGCTACTCGGGAGGCTGAGGCAGGAGGATTGCTTGAGCCCAGGAGTTTGAGGTTGCTGTGTAGCTAGGCTGACACCACGCACTCACTGTAGCCTGGCAACAAATCGAGACTCTGTCAAAAAAAAAAAAAAAATTTTGTCCTTAAAAATCATTCATATTCTTCTTTACCACTTTTTAGTTGTTTTTCATTAGGCACCAAAATTATAAAAATAATGAAATTTCTTTTCAGAAGTTCTGGAAGACAATTTTAAAGAGGATAATACTGCAGTTGTTTTAAAAGGATATTTATCAAACTTTCAAATTGGTATTAAATTTTTATAGCTGTCCTAGCATCTTCCTACTTATAAATACCCACTGACTTATGAAATGGAGAATGTTTTCTAAAACTTTATTTTGGAAAATTTCCAACATATGCAAGGTAAAGAGAATAGTATAATGAATCTCCATGAACCCAAAACCCGGCTTCAATAATCATTAATATTTTGCTAATTCTGTTTCATTGTTCCTCTCCAATTAAACATTTTACTACCTGGGCATGGATCATACCTTTACTTTTGAGTTTCTTTTATTTTTTTTTTTTTTTTTTTTTTTGAGACAGAGTCTCACTTTTGTGTCCAGGGCTAGAGTGGAGTGCCGTGGCGTCAGCCTAGCTCACAGCAACCTCAAACTCCGGGCTTGGAGTGATCCTTCTGCCTCAGCCCCCCGAGTAGCTGGGACTACAGGCATGCGCACATGCCGGGCTAATTTTTTTTTTATGATCCATATATCGAGTTGGCCAATTTATTTCGTTGTCTAGTATAGTAGGAGACGGGGGTCTCGCTCTTGCTCAGGCTGGTTTTTGAACTTCCTGACTCGAGCAATCCGCCCGCCTCGGCCTCCCAAGAGCTAGGATTACAGGCGTGAGCCACAGCGCCCGGCCTTACTTTTGAGTTTCAAAGCACTGGTAGAACTTTGAGAGGCCAAGGCAGGAAGATTTCTTGAGGCCGGGAGTTTAAGACCAGCCTGAGCAAGAGGGAGACCTGTCTCTACAAAAAAATAGAAAAGTAAGTCAGGTGTGGTGGTACCCACCTGTAGTCCCAGCTACTCAGGAGCAGGAGGATTGCTCAAGCCCAGGAGTTTGAGGTTGCAGAGAGAGCTATGACGATGTCACTGCATTCTAGTCCAAGAGATAGAGCAAGACCCTGTCTCTACCAAAAAGAAAAAAAAAAAAAAAACCCACTGGTAGAAGTAGAACATGACCATAAGATTTTCTAGCATTATCTTTTGTAAGTAAATAATGAAACTTTAAAAATGTCATTGACATATGACTTTTTCTTGCTTTCAGGTGGTACAATGAGAGTATCAGCCGAGACAAAGCTGAAAAACTTCTTTTGGACACAGTAAGTCTCCTTAACTTGTCTTTTGACTTAAAATGAATTGTACTGTTTTTTCAGTCATGCTGTGGAGTGGGTTGACATGTTTGGTTAACAGTGGTTTTCATGTCTGGTGAAAATACTCTGGGAATTCATAGGACTAGCAAACCACAGGATGAGAAACCTGGGCAGGGCTTGGTATTGACATGTTGACCGCCTTGCTGCAGCGGTCTTTACCCTGTGATGGTGGCTGAACTTGGAGAGCCATCACTGCTGGTCTGCCATCTTACTTCTTTGTCTAGGTCAGGGTGGCTGTGACTCAGATTCTGCCGGGTTGGGCTGTGGGTCCAAAGGAAACATAGCATATTTTTTTTAAAAACTTAATTTTCATCAACACTTTTTCTCTAAAGCCACGGAGTATGAGTAGCAGGACTGATCTTACCCAGGATGTCAGGATTAAGGGAGAAAGGGAAGAGGAGAAAAAGCATAATGTGGTGGGACAAGTACTGTGTTCTGGTCCCTGTTCTCTGTGACCAACTCAGTGTGTGACTTTGGGGCCATCTTTCTGTTCTTTCTGGACCTCAGTTTCTCGATAAGAACAAGATGAGCATTGCACTCAATCAGGGATGACAATTGCCCGGCTCATGCTGCCACTCTGTGCTCCTGCTCCCTTGGCCCACGCAGTTGGTGACAATGCATGCACCAGGACTCTATTGGGAAACAAGACAAGCTCTGTTTGAAAGAGTGGGAGGATAATCTAAAATAAACTAAAATCAACTCCAAAAAAGCTGAAAAAGATTTCACAGAGGAAAAGGAATCGGGCTAAGTGATTCCTGGACTCTCCTTGGTTCTATATCAGCTCAGCATTTAATTAGTTCCTGTGCTTCCCTATAGGCCACACATTAGGATTGCTGGGAAATGTTTAAAAATACAGATTCCCAGGTCCCACTCCAATCTACAGAATCAGAATCTCCGGAGTTGGTTCCTGGGAATCTGTATTTTCTCAAGTTGAACTTATGACGCTTAGGTAGCCAGCTCAACACTTGGGTCCTCCCAGCCTGTATTATTGGACAACATAGTAAAACTTGACTGATACGAACTCATTGAGAGGAGTGTAAAATTAATTAAATACCTGAATTATACTGTGTTTATTTTATGTTTTTTATTTCAGCATATTATGGGGGTACAAGTGTTAAGGTTACATATATTGCCCATGCCCTCCTCCCCCCTCGAGTCAGAGCCTCAAGCGTGACCATCCCCCAAATGTTGCACATGTCACTCATTGTGGTTGTATATACCCATCCCCTCCTCCCCCCTCCCACCTGCCCGACACCCGATAAATGTTTTTCCTATATGTCCACTTAGGTGTTGATCCATTAATACCGATTTGCTGGTGAGTACATGTGGTGCTTGTTTTTCCATTCTTGAGATACTTCACTTAGTAGAATGGGTTCCAGCTCTATCCAGGAAAATACAAGAGATGTTATATCATCATTGTTTCTTAAAGCTGAATAGTACTCCATGGTATACATATACCACATTTTATTAATCACAGCATGTATTGATGGGCATTTGGGTTGTTTCCACAACTTTGCAATTGTGAATTATGCTGCTATAAACATTCGAGTGCAGGTGTCTTTTTCATAAAGTGACTTTTGATCTTTTGGGTAGATGCCCAGTAGTGGAATTGCTGGATCAAATGGTAGATCTACTTGTATCGCTTTAAGGTATCTCCATATTGCTTTCCACAGAGGTTGAACTAGTTTGCAGTCCCACCAGCAGTGTAGGAGTGTTCCTATCTCTCCGCATCCACACCAGCATTTATTGTTTGGGACTTTTTGATAGAGGCCATTCTCACTGGAGTTAAGTGATATCTCATTGTGGTTTTGATTTGCATTTCCCTGATGATTAGAGATGTTGAGCATTTTTTCATATGTTTTTTGGCCATTCTGTCTTCTTTTGAGAAGTTTCTGTTCATGTCCTTTGCCAATTTTTTATAGGGTTGTTTGATTTTTTTCTGGCTGATTTTCCTGAGTTCTAAATAGATTATACTGTGCTTAAACAAGTATAGTTTTGTTATTTTCAATCATGCATTGCTTAATGAAGTCTATGGAGCACTTAAAACAGCCCACATTAATAACTAGCTCAAGATGATTCCTATTTTATAGCAGTTCTTTTGAGGTATTTAAGTATATTTTGCTTGCTTGGGCAGTTGAAACATTCCTCCTTGCTAATATTTTGAATTACTTTACCAAATTCTCTTCTCCTTCTTACGGAAATATGAGGGTAGATGTCAAAGGGTCCCTATCAGATTTAGCCCAGAGTCTGGATAGCTAGAATTGAATGACATTATCTTACTCTTTTTCACTTTTCTTGTATGCTGTTTGAAATAATAGTTGCAGCATTTCTAGGTTTATCTTCTTGTCTAACAAGTAGAGGACTCATAAGAGATGGGTTGATTCATTTGACTTTATTAGCTAAAGTTCCTGGTGTACTGCCCCATACATCTTTCTCCACTAGAATATAAACCCTTTATCTTGTTTCTGCTGTACCCAGGTACCCAACCTGTATCTAGAACAAAGTAGTTGCTCAATAAATATTTGTTGAATGAATGAATATATCAAGTGCTTAATAAATGTGTTATAATTGACAAGGGTGCTCAAGGAGGATCTAGCTGGTCATGAGCAACATTAAGGGGGCTTTTTAAAAATACAAACTCCTGGACTTCAGGCCTACCCAATCAGGATTTCTAGAGGTAGCACCCAAGTGATTCTAAGACATACCGAAGTTTGGGAACCACTGAAAAGCACCTCCCAACATGTCCTATCAATTCTTCAAATGTTGCCTCCTCCAAGAAGCCCCTCATGTCTTCTCTCTCCCTGCCTGTGGATCCTGGTTTTTCTTGCCTTTGAACCCTTACGGTGTGATGTTATTACTTTTCCAGCGGCTCTGTTCTCACTCTGCCTTGGATCTCAACAGTTTCTCTTTTGTCTTAACCCATCCTTCCAAGCAGGTACTCTGTAACTCACTCAGACTACCCCGCGGCATCTCGCACATTGGGTGACCTGAATTTCAGACAGGAGCCTTGGCTACAGCATGGGTTCATCATCTCTCCGTGGTTCTAAGATGTCCTTAAAGATGCAATATTGACTTAATAATAGGTTTGTTTCAAGAGAAGGAAAGAACCACCTCCAGATTGAAAGATGGCTATCTGCCAGAGACACTCTTAAAGTATAATGCAGCATGACAAGCCTATGAATTATCAGTCTGTCTTTCCACAATAACTTACCCTGTGTGTTGAGATTATCTTCTGAAAAGTCACCTTCAAATTATATGGATAGAAAGAAAGAAATATACTTTTTTTTTTTTTTTGAGACAGAGTCTCACTTTGTTGCCCAGGCTAGAGTGAGTGCTGTGGCATCAGCCTAGCTCACAGCAACCTCAAACTCCTGGGCTCAAGCAATCCTACTGCCTCAGCCTCCCGAGTAGCTGGGACTACAGGCATGCACCACCATGCCTGGCTCATTTTTTCTATATAAATTAGTTGGCCAATTAATTTCTTTCTATTTATAGTAGAGACGGGGTCTTGCTCTTGCTCAGTCTGGTTTTGAACTCCTGACCTCGAACAATCCTCCCGCCTCGGCCTCCCAGAGTGCTAGGATTACAGGCGTGAGCCACCGCACCTGGCCAAGAAATATACTCTTAACACAACCAACATGTCTCAGATGAAGACAGACAATGGAATAATTACTTCCAGCAGATAATAGACCATAGCATGTAATAATAATGAAATCATATGCTATTATTATTAGCTATTACTAACTTAATAACTAGTAAGTCCTCATTCTGGTATTATATTCCAGAAGCTGTTCTATGTACTTTAATTCTCCCAAGAACCTTATGAAGTTTTTTACAGATGTGGAAGTTGAAGCTCATACATTTAATCAGAAAACATATGAAATTCACAAAATTATAGGCTGCTAGGATTCTTTTTAAAGAGCATCTGGTCCGTCTCCTTTGTATTACAGGAGAGAAAATTGGGACAAGTTCAGAAAGTGAAATCAGTGGCATGGTCTGGACTAAAGCAGGGATGCTTCTTCACACACACACACACACACACACACACACACACATATGCACACACACACAGTTAATATGGGAATGCATAAATTCCTTTCTGTTCTCCCATCCCACCCGGGTGAAACATATATTTTGCCTCCTTATCATGATTTTTTTTCCTATTTATTTTTCTAGATTACGTAGTAAAAGGCAAACTGAAACCTTAGGGATACCCCAAGGGAGCAAGGGCCCCCTGTGGCCACAAGGCACAGGTCAGCGCACCCTTGCAAGGCAGTGACATGAGTAATGGCCCTCTAGGCACCTGTGTTCTCAGTGGTTGTGACTTCCTCTGAGCTCTGTGCAGGAAGTCACATGCTGAATGCCTCAGTTTCCTCAGAACTCTGGGCTGCCTCAGCCCCAAAACAGTTTCCTGTCTCTCTCACTGAATGCCACTCAGAGCAACCAAGATGAAGGGAGAGGGGGCTTCAGGGAAACTGAGGTTCCATACTCAGCAGCGTTGACTGCACACCTCACCTCTCCTTTTTCTGATTTCTATGCACTATTTAGTCTGGTTCATATTTAAGAGCTGAGCCCAGTTCTAATTACAATTTTTTTTTTCCAGAAAAGCAATGGCTTCTTTGAAAATTTAACAGTAAAAACAATAACAAAACATTCTTAATTAGATGGGAGAGATAGTCACACTCCCATTTTCACAGTTGATAAACTTCTAATCTTTATGGTCTATGTTTCTTCCCCTTTAGAATAAGTTACATATTCAGATAAAGTCTGCCTCTGTTGAAGTTTTTTTTTTGTTTGTTTTTGTTTTTTGAGACAGAGTCTCACTTTGTTGCCCAAGCTAGAGTGAGTGCTGTGGCGTCAGCTTAGCTCACAGCAACCTCAGTTTCCTGGGCTCAAGCAATCCTGCTGCCTCAGCCTCCCGAGTAGCTGGGACTACAGGCATGCACCACCATGCCCGGCTAATTTTTTATTATATATATATATTAGTTGGCCAATTAATTTCTTTCTATTTATAGTAGAGACAGGGTCTCGCTCTTGCTCAGGCTGGTTTCGAACTCTTGACCTCGAGCAATTCTCCTGCCTCAGTGGCATGACCATCAGTGCATGACCATCAGCACCCTCCCAGAGTACTAGGGTTACAGGTGGCGTGAGCCACCGCGCCTGGCCACAGTTGAAGTTTTATTTCTTCCTGCCTTGAGGTTAATCTATCACATTTCAATGAGGCAAGAGCAAAAGCTACATTATTCGGCAAATGGGGAAAACCTATGAAGACAAGCTATGCTACATGTGACACGCAGATGAATATCACAAACATGATATTGAGCAAAGGAATCCAGACACAAATTCACTATTCACAGTGGTCAAAAGGTGGAAATATCACAAATGTCCACAAAATGGGGTACACACACACACACACACAAGAATATTATTCAGCTGTAAAAAGGAAAGAAATTCTGATATGTGCACAACTTGGATGAACCTTGAAAACAATATGCTAAATGAAAGAAGCCCATCACAAAAGACCACATATTATATGATTCCATTTATGTGAAATGCCTATAAAAGGCAAATCTATGGAGACAGAAAAAATATTTGTGTGGCAGGGGTGGACATGGGACTAAGGTTTCCTTCTGTAGTAATGAAAATTGTCTAAAATTAGATTATGCTAATGGTTGCAACATTTACTAAAAATCATTGACTTGTACACTGAAAATGGGAGAATTTTTTGGTATATAAGTCATGCTTCAAAAGCTATTCTTGAAAACGAACGAGCTAATCTGGGGTTTTTGATGCACCATAAATCACCTAGCCCAAAATGTCAATGGTGCCAAGGTTGGGATAACACTGGGCTAGATTGTCTTGATAAGGCCCTTTCTAACCCAGAGATCCTAAAATTCAAACAATTAGTGTTACCGTGTGTGTGTGTGTGTGTGTGTGTGTGTGTGTGTGTCTTTGCTTGTACAACAACCCACCTTTGCAGTTGGGGGAAGGAGGCGCTTGTATTGTTCTAGATTCTATATACTTCGTTCCATATGCTCCAAGTGCATACCCTCCACCAGGATCTTGTCTAACTCTGACCTTCACTTAGGGCCCTCCCTGTGTCTGAGTAAATCACACAGACAGGCTTTACAGGTGTTACCAGGACTGGTTTACAGGGGTAGGAACAGAGTGTTAGACATGAAATACTTACTTTAGATTTTTAAATTTCCATCAGGAATGAATAGACTGGCATGTCCATTTGCTTGTGCTTATTTAATCAGTGCCAACAAAATTGTCCGGGTGGTGAAAGGTACATTCTCAGGGCTCTCCCTTCCTCCTACCTCCCTCATGAAACCAGGAGCTTGATTGATGTTCTTGCTCCTTCTGTCCTGCAGCAAAATCAGCGCTCTGTAAAAGGCCTGAGAAATATATTCCCATCGAAGAACTGATGACGTTTTCAGGACAGGTAGCTGTGTGTCCTTGTGGGGGAATGAAGTGGCTTCTGACGCCCACCGAGTGGAGGCATCATGGAGTTGGTGGAATGAGTGTGGGCTTTGCCCCCATGCCAAAGTGGAAGGCTCACTAGAAACCACGTGTTCTCCCTGTCCCCTCTGAGAAAAGCCAGGCCAGGGAGATGAAGGACAGGTCACTTACTAGTCGTGGGTCATGGGAACACCACATGAGCTCTCTGGCGCTCAGTGTCCTCACTGGTGATTAAGGGTGACAGTATCTAGCTTACAGTGTCACAGGAAGGCTTGGAAACCACCTGTAAAGAGTCTGGCACATGGTGAGCTCTAAAAAGGTACAACTTATGTCTGTCTGTCTGTCTTCATTCATGGCTAACGTCAGCGTGCGAACAGTCCCTGCCCTGTGTAGGAATTTAAGAAATATCTATGGATTGATAGAATACATGAAAGGGTTCCATTATTGCTGAAAGTTGGCTCTATGCCACACTGGCCTGCAGTATTTCCTCCTTCTGTGGGTGAGAAAGTGGAGCTGGGGGAACAAGCCTTATTGCATGACATCACTGCCCTGCCACTCTCTCTAACCAATCCAGGGCAAAGAAGGAGCCTTCATGGTGCGAGATTCCAGGACTCCGGGAACGTACACCGTGTCCGTGTTCACCAAGGCCATCGTAAGGTATGGTGCTAACTCAGCTCGGCAAAGTGGGGAGAGAGACCTCTGAACCGGGTGAGTCACCTCTGACAAAACCAAGGCCAGGGAGATCCAGGACAAAACTGAAGAGGGTTAGTTAGAAAGGAACAGAGCTGGAGGTGGAAGCCAGGCCCTCTTGCCAGTTAGCATCCCGGATTTCAGAGCTTCAAAGAAATAAAATACTTGGCCCTGTCTAGGATGAGCGTATAATTTAATACATAGAGTAACAAAGAAGAGATTTCCAACTGGAAGTAAAAATATATGAAATCCAGTTCTGGCTCTGTAAATAAAAAACTGCCTACCATTGATCAAGTCCTTACTATATGCCAGGAACGTTGCAGACCATTTCCAATCCTAAGAAGCCCTGAAGGCAGGCGTTGCTGTGTTCATTTCACACAGGAGAAACTGAGGCTCAAAGAGCTGAAGGCACTTCCCTAAGGCAATGGGGCTAAAGTGGCCATGCCACATTCGTGCTCCAGCCAAGCTGACGGCGAAATCCTCTCTGGACCTCGGTTTCCCTTTCTGTAAAATGATGTCTAAGAACGTATCTAGGTCTCAACTGCTTTTCTGATTAGAAAATCAGTAAGAACTAAGCAGCTTGGCAATGATCACAGTGCAGTAAGAATTCACAGAAGAGAAAAATAATTTTTAAGGTGTTCTCAGGGAATATTTCGTGAAAGACTTGAAGGCATGAGCAGGAGCCAGAGCAAGGGTAGGGCTCAGACAGGGGCAAAGAGGAAGCCACCACCCAGGCATGGGGAAGAAAGAACACAAGGCACATCTCAGAGGGACTGTGTCTGTGCGTGGCTGGGACACAGTGAGGACAGTGACCCGAAACCTGTAAGGTGTGATGGAGAAAGAATGAGAGTGAAACTCTGTGTTGGGGGCTCCCAAGACCACCGCTGGGCTCACTAAGAGGACGCCCAGGACTAAGGCTTATTACAGCAAAGGGATAGGAAACAGAATCAGCAGTGGGCAAAGGCAGGTGGGGCAAAGCCCAGAGGAAAGCAAATGCAAGCTTGCAAGAGTCTTCTTCCGGTAGAGTCACACGCGACATGCTTCATTCCTCCAGCTACGAGTCGTGACAACACGTGTGGAGTATTGTCCTACCAGGGGAGCTCATGAGAGACTCAGTGCCCGGGTTTTTATCAGGGGCTGCTTCTGTAGACACCCTCTGCCTAGCACACACCAAAATTCTAGACTCTCAGAAGGAAAGTAGGTGTTCAGCCATAAAGCGCATTGTTTATACAAACAGTTTAGGCACAGCCCGCCAGCCTAGTCAGTTAGAGAACGGGGAGAACCCTCCCGAAATCCAGGTTCCCAAACACCAGCCAAAGGGTGATGGTGCAAGCAGGACTTTCTAAGGACAACCGTCAGGCCAGCTCTGTTAACTCTTTGTGGCACAAAGTCGGGTAAGTATGAAGGGGTTAGAGAGGCTTCCTCAAACATAGGCTGACAAAATAATTCACAGAGCAGGGATGGCAAACATGCAGCACATGTAATACCATTCCCCCGTTTTGTAGCAATGGAAGAAACATCACCAATCCATCATAGCACTGCTGCCAACCGGGTCCACATGCAACCTCAGAGTCCTTCTTAACACAGCAGCGAGGCACTCAGGGCCAACCTATCAAGACTGACATACAAGTTGAAATCTATCTGCCAACTTTGTGAGACGTCATCACAAAATGAATATAATAAGAATCTAACATTAGTACACATTTTTGTGTCTCAGCATTGCTTTTTACTAATCACTGCATTTATGTTTGGTTTGTTTAAGCGAGAACAACCCCTGTATAAAGCATTATCACATCAAAGAAACAAATGACAACCCTAAGCGATACTACGTGGCTGAGAAGTATGTGTTTGATTCCATCCCTCTTCTCATCAATTATCACCAACATAATGGAGGAGGTGAGTTCTAGAAGACAAAGGGGGACTTGGGGAAAAGTGACAGAAGCCCAGCCTCGTTTCTTCCTGATCATAAATAATAATTAAATATACAAATAGGAAAGGATGTCATATATTAGATTATATAACAATTAACAAACTCTAGTATGAAGATCATGGAATTTTACCCATGCCAGACACCTGTGCTTATGAATCTTCTCAAGGAGGCTGTGATTTATCAGTGGCTGGACCTTGGGATTTGTTTTCCAGAATAAAATTAGCTTTTTTTTTAGCAGTCTCAACCACATTTATTTAGATATTTTGGTTGATTACAATTTTCACTATAACAAATAGAACCGCAATGAATATTCATGAATATGTTTCTTTCGTGGTAAAATTAGCGTTTGCATCAGTTTTATTTTCCTGGTGATTGAAGTTAGATGGTTGCTACATCAAAGCCCTAACCATTGCCTTTGGCTTTTCAATCAACCCAGGCCTGGTCACTCGGCTCCGGTATCCAGTTTGTTCCTGGAGACAGACAGCCCCCATCAAGGCAGGGCTGAGATACGGTAAGCACAATGATCAGGAATGTAAACCCATGGCTCTAAATTCCACATGGACTGTCTATGTACCTACCTGGTCCCCAGACTTCAAATGGCCAACAAAACAAGTGTTCTATATATCTGGAGCGAGCAGCCCTGATGAACATTTATAATGTGTGTAAGAGAAGTGCATATACTCGCATAAGCCCATCTATCTAGGCCAAAGCAATGGCCACTGGTTTTATAAAACAGTGCATTAATGAAGTATTTATTGAGCACCAACTTTGTACAGAGCACTCTACTAAAATGCCATTAGAAAAATATCGGAAACAATGCCTTAGCACTGTGTTTCCAACTACCTTCTAGAACTTCTACATCATGTAGTTGGTGTGGTATGGGTCTATTGCAATGGCTGGCAGCTGGCAGCATCTAGAAGTGTTTGTTTGCATAACAGAGTGTTAAGATTTTTTTTTAATGCCTCCAGGCAGGGCCTGCATCTGCAGTGCTGCAGCCCTCACTGTGCCTTCTTGTGCAACTGCTTCACCACTTGGGATTAATTACCTGCCTGGACTCTGAAGGCATTGGAGTTTGTATTTCCTTGGTCCCGACTGTGTGCTGCTTGAGGATCAGGCTGCTCTAATTTTCATCTTGTATCTCCTAGCTTGGTGGTTCTCAAACTTCAGTGTGCATCAAAGTCCCCCGGAATGCTTATTTAAAAATATGGGCTCCTGGACCTTACCCAGCACTTACCAAAACACAATCCCTGATACTGGGATCCTAGAGTCTATATTTTAAATAAGTGTCCAGTGACTTTGACTCGGGTGGTCAGAGGGCAATACTTTGAGAAACACTGCCATGGGCTTCTTCATCCTTAACCAGCACCAGGGCTGGCACACAGTAGGTACTCAGTACTGTTTTCTGTTGAGTCTCTGCCTCAAACAGGTAGAAATCTGGCTCTTTATGGTACCAGACCAAGCACTGGGGAAGGATAACGCCTCTCTAGCCTCCCTATGAAAATACCTAAGGGCATTCTAATATCTGTAGAATCCTAATGTGTCCACGCTGAGTGGAATCTCAGAGATTATCTGGTTGCCCAATCATTTTGTCAATAAGACAGTTGAGCCTTGGATCCTTTTATTAGTTTATGCAACATTTATTGAGAACCTCCCATGGGCCAAACAGTGTGCTAGATTGTGCCTTCTCTTTGAATCCACCTACCTCTCTGAACGTCACCCTTGCTAAGGCCTAGCAGAGTGCTGTGTACTTAGTGTACATAGTGGGTGCTCTTGATAGATGAATGAAGGAAGGAAGGAAGGAACGATCAGCTCAAATGAAATTTGCTCTGTATGAAAAATGACAATAAAAAATTCACAGATATAGAAAATGATTGGGACCTTGCAAGAACCCTTTCATTTACTTTCTTTAATATCTTCATTAATGCTATGCTCCTTTTCCTTTCCATGTAGCCACCTCACAAACATTTTTCCATAGCTTTAGATGTATATCCTATGTTATTATTTAGGGGAAAGTTTAGTTATATTTATGATAGTTCTAAGTTTAGGACTTACACCGTTTTCCATCTGTGAGTTATAGAAACAATAGGCTAAAATGCTATGTAGGGCTCCCTAGGCCCTGGGCAGCCCTATATTTCATATCTACTACTTGCTGACCCTGGAAAACCCCCTCTCTCTCTTCCAGGGAAATGGGTGATCGATCCCTCGGAGCTCACTTTTGTGCAGGAGATTGGCAGTGGGCAGTTTGGGTTGGTGCATCTTGGCTACTGGCTCAACAAGGACAAGGTGGCCATCAAAACCATTCAGGAAGGGGCAATGTCAGAAGAGGACTTCATAGAGGAGGCTGAAGTCATGATGTAAGTGGTCAAAACAAGGGTATGCCAGATACCTTGTGTTCTTTAAATACCATTCTGATGCCACATGGTGCCACCTCCCTGTTCTAATCCCAGCAGTGTCTTCCTATTGCATAGAAAATAAAACCAAACTCCTTACCATGTTCTGCAAGGCCCGCCATGGTCTGGCCTTGCCCACTGCCACATCTCAGCTCCTACCCATTTTTCTTCTGATCCACAACATGCCAGCCACACTGGCCTCCGTTTATCTACACACACCAGCTGACTCCCTGCCCTCCATCAAGTCTCAGCTCCAGCGATATATTTTTGTTTTAGGAGGGAATGGATTTTGTTTCCAAAGCCATGAGTTGGACCAAGCGGCCACCTGTCGTGGCCCGTTAACAGGACGGAGGATGAACACAGAACACAAAACATAAACGCAGAACACAAAGAAAAATGCAGACACACATACAAACGGTTGACTTGAGTAATAATACACCGGATCAGTTTTATTTTTATACTCTAAAAGATTAAAGTTAGTTCTTTGTGCTTAACCGCCCAGGCTTGGCAGCGATAGCCATAAATTCCGGAATGTGTAGCCTTAGGGAAGCAGATATCCCCTGACTCAGAATTTCAAGGTGGTTGGTCTAGGCACTAGGCATAAAGGGCCAAGATTAGCAAGGATGGGCAAGGTGAGCCACAGTGGGCATTTCTTATCCCCAGCTTCTCTTAGGGTGACCCCCTAAGATCTTTGGCTGAACCCCGGCGGCTTTGCCTGGCTTAGGTTGCCCCTCCCTTGAGGGGTCTTACCCGTCATTGACTAACTAGCCATCTTATGGGGTGTACGCAGCAATCACAGGAATAATATGTTTATCGTGTGGCCTCCAGACCCCCAGTGCTGTGGGGTGGGGTAGCTCTTGCTTACTTACAATTCAGGTCCTTTGTTATGCCTCTAGGCAGCAGCCTTGTTTATCACAAGGACCTTGTCCGGAATCGATTACCTTCAAACACTCTGGGCAGAACACGTACATTCCTCAATAACTTTAATTCTTAAACTAGGAAAATATATGTCAGTCCCCTACAGCCACTGGCTATTTTGGTGCCATCAAATGTTCAGCACTTTTGGGAAACTGAGTTTGGGCCATCTCCCTCCTGTCTTTTTCCTCCAGGAAACTCTCTCACCCCAAACTGGTCCAGCTCTACGGGGTGTGTCTGGAGCAAGCCCCCATCTGCCTGGTGTTCGAGTTCATGGAGCACGGCTGCCTGTCGGATTACCTGCGCAGCCAGCGGGGACTCTTTGCCGCGGAGACCCTGCTGGGCATGTGTCTGGACGTGTGTGAGGGCATGGCCTACCTGGAAGAGGCGTGTGTCATCCACAGAGACTTGGTACGATCGTGCACAGCAGACACCTGCGGGTCCGTAATGACGGGGCACATCCCACGGAACTGTAGAGCTACCAAAACTGGGGACACGCTAATAAATAACAAATCACAGGCCATCTCCTTTCCTCTTTCAACTTCTTCCTTCCTCTACCCACATTGAGGGCTCTTAGTGGGAAAGTGCTTCATCAGAGCTCAGATCTGGGCTCTTATCCCAGCCCTACCTCTAACTTTCACCTTCTGCCTTTCAGTTTACATTCTTCCAAAGTAGAGCTAATGGCCACTTCTTCTTAACCTCTTTGTGCCTCAGTTTCCCCCTGATAAAATGAGGGAAATGGACAAGCACAGTTTGTCTCAAAGTATTATCCAAGGATCTACCAGAATCATATTGGGGTAATCCTTAAGCTACTCTCAGAATCTCAGGTGGCTGGAATCTACCAGAATCATATTGGGGTAATCCTTAAGCTACTCTCAGAATCTCAGGTGGCTGGGATTCACAAATATTCATTTTAATACACTCCCCCATGTGATTTGTGTGCATGTTAAAATCTGAGACACATTGGAGTTTTTTTTTTTTATCTCTAAGGACTCTTCCAATGCAATGTTTTGTGATACACAACCTCAAAACATTCTTACTTTAGTCAAAGGGGAGATGCTTTCTTCCTATCACCCCTAATGTTAACATTTCCTATCAGGCCAAGTGGCACTAGAGCCTGTCATTGTTGAGACAACACCATGGCTTTCTCTTCTAAAATTAGGATCCAGGAATGAAGATAAACTTACTCATCCCAGTAATGCAGCCTACACATTCAACTTTCTAGTAAATTCCAGCAGGCAATTATGAAGCTTAATGCACGTTTGTCAAGCTCTTCAATGCCCTTGTACCACATACCCAGTAAAGCAAAGGCCTGTCATTGTAGGAAATTCCTTAATTCCTGGTCACTCATCAACAGTTTTCCTTGTCCTTTTGTTTGCCTGTCTCCTCTCCAGGCTGCCCGAAATTGTTTGGTGGGAGAAAACCAAGTCATCAAGGTGTCGGACTTTGGGATGACAAGGTACAACAGGCGCTTGGGGCGAGCAAAATCTCAGGAATGGGACTCAGGCCTCTGGAACATTCTGACCTTCTTCTTCCACTCTCTCCCCAGGTTTGTTCTTGATGATCAGTACACCAGTTCCACGGGCACCAAATTCCCAGTGAAGTGGGCATCCCCGGAAGTTTTCTCTTTCAGTCGCTATAGCAGCAAGTCGGACGTGTGGTCGTTTGGTGAGTGCCATCCCCGGCCCACCCCAGCACGGTCTGGGACCGCAGGCCAGCTGTTTCCTTTGTCAAATGCAGGCAGCCCTGCTTGCCCTGAACTCACTGGCGGTCTGTGTACGAAAGGCCCTGAGATGCGCAAAGGGGCTCTCATTACTGTATTTATTCTTGGAGATTTATGAAATAGGAAGGGGGTGGGTAAAAATAAAAATGGAAATAGGATTCTGGTGGTAGCTGCTGTGAGGTCAAAAGCTGGAAGAGAGTGAGGAGATTTGAATATGAGCTCCTTGAAGGCAGGGACCATGTTTTTGTCCAATACTATATTCCCTCACTTAACCTTCAATAAGTATTTTACTCATTCATTCAACGACAATTTACTGAGCATCTGTTACATGCCAGGGGTAACCTCGGTGCTAAGCATGCAGTGGTACATAGGATTAAAAAAAGACTTTTACCTTCTTAGAGCTAAATTTTAGAGGGGAAGAGAGACAGATAACAACCACATAAACAAGCTGACATATAGAAGATAAAGTCGTAAAGTCATGCAGTAAAGAAAGGAACTATGAATAAAATAAGATGGTAATGGGATAGAGTGAGTGGAATGGAGAGAGGGTCTGCTTTGAATGGTATGGTCTGGGAAGGCCTCTCTAAGGAGGTGAGTCTTGAGCAGAGACTTGAGTGATTAGAGGAAGCTGTCGCCATTCGAAGAGCCAGGGAACAGTGTCCCTGATAGAGGGACCAGCAAGTGCAAACGCTTGGGGTGTCCAAAGAACAGGGGGTACTGACTTAGTGAAAGAACAGTAGGCAATGAAGTTGGCAGGCCCTGGTAAGGAATTAGAATTTCTAATTGCAAGTGGGCATGTGAATGAATGAAGGAATGAATAATGTTGGTGTGGCTAAATGTTCTTGCTGGATTTGTTATGCCACCCTAAGTCATAGTCGTGGATACTGAAGTATGCACAAAAATATGCCAGACAACCTTTTTTTTTTTTTAAATTTCAGCATATTATGGGGGTACAGATTTTAAGGTTTCAATAAATGCCCATTTCCCCCCCTCCCCCCACAAGTCTGAGTCCCTCAGCAATGACCATCCCCCAGATGGTGCACATCTCACTCATTATGTATGTATATACCCCCCTCCCCCTCCCACCTGCCTAATACCCTATTACTGTAGCACCTATGTGACCACTTAGGTGCTCAGACAACCTTTTTGATGTGGATTACAAGAAGGGTAATACTCTGGACAGGAACTGCTCAAAGGTTAATTTTACCATTCTGTATTTAGTAGCAGCACAAACCAGGAGAAAAATGGTTAATTAAATCTCTTAGGAGAAAAATGAGTTTCAAAATCTTTGGCATTTTAGAATATCCATCTCCAGGTGCCAAGTGGTTTGTTAATTATCATTCCTGATCTGTTCCTTAAAACAGTTCACCAATTCACCAGGCCTAGCTGCTACTTTGTTAGCCAGTTTTAAGTTACACAATGAACTTGGAAGATATTCTCTGACAGCATTCTTAGACAGCTGTCCTCCCCACAGTGTGATAACCAGGAAGTTAGGGTTGATATGCAGCCGTCTCTGTATGAGTGAGGAAGCTGATCACACCGCACCCAGCCGGGCGCAGTGGCTCACGCCTGTAATCCTCGCACTCTGGGAGGCTGAGGCGGGAGGATCGCTCAAGGTCAGGAATTCAAAACCAGCCTAAGCAAGAGCAAGACCAAGACCCCGTCTCTACTATAAATAGAAAGAAATTAATTAGCCAACTAAAAATATATAGAAAAAATTAGCTAAGAAATTAGCACGGTGGCACATGCCTGTAGTCCTAGCTACTTAGGAGGCTGAGGCAGGAGGATCGCTTGAGCCCAGGAGTTTGAGGTTGCTGTGAGCTTAGCTGACACCATGGCATTCTAGCCCGGGCAACAGAGTAAGACTCTATCTAAAAAAAAAAAAGACATAGTTGGAGCAATGAGCACTTTGGCACATTTGCCTTCTGACCAGAATGGGGTTTATTTAGCCACAGGGTGGAATTTTCTGCTGCATCTTATCATTAGAGGGTTGAGCTAAAATTTGTCCCTGCCTAGGATGTGTTATTCGAAGAGTCCAGAGATGAGGTTGGTGGATGGATGCAGAATAGAAAGAATTCAGTGAATAAAGTGTCAGAAAACTGAAGTGGCAGCCTGAGCCACAGAAACATGAGTGGGCTGAGAGCTCCATGCCTGCCTCTGTCCATTGGACTTTGTCATCATTTTAACTTTGTGCCTTAATTATCTGTGTGCTAGTTTGAGAAGTAACTTCTTTGTGCCTCACTCAGTTTTCTCCCCTATGCATTAGAAGGTTTGTATTAAATATTTAGGCATTTGCTTTCAAACTGTTTTAGTAGTAGTCCTAATTTTCAAAAGAAATCTCTCTAGAAATCCTGGCATCTCAGGGTGCTAAGCATTCTTATTTATGGTCAGGTGCTGAATTTCCAACTCCTGAGGGACCTCCAAGGACCCTCTAGAAATTCTGGTCCACTGGGTCTGGGCTGGAACCCAGGAATCTGACATTTGAACAGACATCTGAGATGATTGTTATGCAGGTGTTTGTAGGATCATACTTTGGGAAACTCTGCCCTGAGGTCCTATGGAATATACTTTGAAAAGCTCTGGGGTAGGTTATCTGCAATCTCTCTTCCTGCTCTGACAGCCTACGAATATACTAACACATGAAAAAGATAAAACTGGGTGTGACATTTCTACAAAGGGCAGAAGAGGCTAAAAAGATTCAATCAGAAGTCAAAAACAGACAACCCAAAGATGTGCTTTGCTTGGTCTACACAGTATTTATATTTTTTTAAATCCCAATTTCTGGCTTCTTCTAGAAAATCAGAAGATGCGACCGTCCTGGGCCCTCATTTCCATGTGCCATACTTTGGGTGACACCAACACCGTATCTGTCCCCTTAAAACAGAACCTTTGATCTGCAGCTTTCCACAGTCCTCGCTAGTCCCTACTGGTCGCATCTCACCCATTCCATTCGTCTACATCGCGTGTGTAGACATTTGAGTTTACGTCCCCTGCAACTTTTAGCGGTAGCCTTTGAGTTGGATATAACAAATGATTGAGCTTGAAAAATCCTTCTCCACTAGGGAAGGCTGGGAAGTTACAGCTCTTTAAAAATAAGACAGGCCCAGTAAGCCTCAAGTGGGCTTGATGGTGCACTTCTGGAGGTAGGGACTTGAATCCTAATGCCAAGGAGTCTGTAATTAATCTAGGTGGGTTTGTTTGGTATTTTTGGCCTTTGTCATTAGCTGTGCCATGCTCATCCTCTCTCATAGGCGTGCTGATGTGGGAGGTCTTCAGCGAAGGCAAAATCCCGTATGAAAACCGAAGCAACTCAGAGGTGGTGGAAGACATCAGCACCGGATTTCGGTTATACAAGCCCCGGCTGGCCTCCTCGCATATCTACCAGATCATGAATCATTGCTGGAAAGAGGTCAGTAGAGGAAGTGGTTCGCCTCTGCATTATATAATATACAATTTCAGGGCCTGCCCCCTTCCCTAGAAAAAAGAAATGCCGTAGAAGGATGAGGCAGCAAGGATGACCAAAATCAATTAGCAAAATGTGACTTCAAGGGTCTTTATTATTATTATTATTATTATTATTTTTTAGAGACAGTCTTGCTCTGTCACCCAGGCTGGAGTGGAGTGGTGTAATCATAGGTCACTGCAACCTCGAACTCCTGGGCTCAAATGATCCTCCTGCTTCAGCCTCCTGAATAGCCGGGACTACAGGTGCATGCCATCATGCCTGGCTAAATTTTTAATTTTTATTTTTTTATAGAGACAGGGTCTCACTAAGTTGCCCAGACTGGTGTCAAACTCCAAGGCCCAAGTGATCCTCCCACCTCAGCCTCCCAAAATGCTGGGATTACAGGCGTGAGCTACCACGCCCAGCCATACCTGGCCTTTAAGGGTCTATTAACTGGGTAGATTCCTCAGTCCTAACAGAGCTAACAGGGACCTAAAATATTACTCAATTTGCTATGTAATGTCACAAGCCATAAGCATAGCTCCAGAGAGGAGGTGAGGGGAGGCCTGTGTCAGCTCCCTCCTCGATTTTCTGAGGAGAAACAAAAAAAGTCTGTAACATCCTAAAACCATTAAAAGTACATGAGGGGCATGGAGGCTGAGGCAGGAGGATCACTTGAGGTCAGGAGTTCAAGACTAGTCTGAGCAAGAGTGAGACCCTGTCTCTACTAAAAAAGAGAAAGAAATTAGCTGGAAAACTAAAAATATATAGAAAAAATTAGTCAGGAATGGTGATGCATGCCTGTAGTCCCAGCTACTCGGGAGGCTGAGACAGAAGGATTGCTTGAGCCCAGGAGTTTGAGGTTGCTGTGAGCTAGGCTGATGCCACAGCACTCTATCCCGGGCAACGAGTGAGACTCTGTCTCAAAAAAAAATAATAATGAGGTTAGTTTTATAAGTTGGGGAACAGAGGCTGGGTGCAGTGACTCACGCCTGTAACCCTAGCACTCTAGAAGGCTGAGGGAGGCGGATTGCTCGAGGTCAGGACTTCGAAACCAGCCTGAGCAAGAGCAAGACCCTGTCTGTGCTATAAATAGAAAGAAATTAATTGACCAACTAATATATATATATATAAAAAAATGAGCCAGGCATGGTGGCGCATGCCTGTAGTCCCAGCTACTCGGGAGGCTGAGGCAGAAGGATTGCTTGAGCCCAGGAGATTGAGGTTGCTGTGAGCTAGGCTGATGCCACGGCACTCACTCTAGCCTGGGCAACAAAGTGAGACACTGTCTAAAAAAATAATAAAAATAAAAAAATAAAATAAATTGGGGAACAGGAGTTCACTTGTGCTATGAAAATGTTAAAGCAGCTTAATTAAGGTTCATTTTATTCATCCACCAATTCGGAAAGGTAAGCCACGTACCCCAGACCTAGATGGCTCAGTTACTCTGTGCTTGGGTCTCAGGCCATGCCTTGAGCCACATCAGCATGAGTCTTAGATGGCCTTGGATGAGTTAGAAAATTGTAAATTTCAGCCAACATGGAAAATTGCCGAAATAGTTAATAAAAATTCTGATCATGGAAGGACAACAAGGTAGAAGGCAAAAAGTAATAGAACGTTTGGATTTTGTCTAAGTGTTACCATTTCTTTATCATTAATCTTGGACAATTCTCTGAATTTCTTTTTTCTTTCCAGTAACAGAATTAAATAATGCTTGGTCTGTAAGCTCACAGAGCTTTTATAATCAGAAACAAACAAACAAACAAACAACATCTACAAGGGCACAAAATAAATCTTGTCCACTTCATAATTAACCACTATCAGAATAAAGATGGCTGACATTTGGTTAGCATTTATAGTTTCTCTTTTAACTTTTATTGATTTTTTTAAATTAATAGGCTTCATTTTTTAGAATTTCCAGATTTACAGAAAAATGGAGCAAAAAGTACAGAGTTTCCATATACCCTCCTTCCTTGTACATAGTTTCCCCTGTTTATTAATATTTTGTATGAGTATGGTATATTTGTTATAATATACCATATTATGGTATATTATAACATATTATATGTTATAATATGTTATAATATTAATATATTAGTATTAACTAATACTATTAATATATTAGTATTAACCTCTATTAATATATTAGTATTAACTAAGGTCCATAGTTTACATTGAGGTTCACTCCTGGTGCTGTAGAGTTTTATGGGCTTTGGCAAATGCAGAATGCCATGGGTCCACCCTTATAATATAGAATAATTTCACAGCCATAAAAATCCCCTGTGATCCACCTATATATCCCTCCCTCCCTTCCCCAAACTCCTGGCAACTGCTTATCTTTTTACTGTCTCCATTCTTTTGCCTTTTCCAGAAGGTTGTATATTAATAGTTGGAATCCTACAATATGTAGCCATTCAGGCTGACTTCTTTCACATAGTAACATGCATTTGAGATTCCTCCATGTATTTTCATGGCTTAATAGCTTTATTTCTTTTTATCACTAAATGTTCCATTGCATGGATATACCACATTTGTTTATCCATTTGCCTACTGAAGTAAATCTTGGTTGCTTTCAGTTTTTAACAATTATGAATAAAGCTGCTATAAACGTTTATGTGCAGGTTTTTGTTTGGACATAAATTTTCAACTCGATTGGGTAAATGCCTAGGAGTGTGATTGCTGGATCATATGGCAAGACTATGTTTAACTTTGTAAGAAACTGCCAGAATGTCTTCCAAAGTAGCTGTACGATTTTGCATTCCCAACCATCATTTAGAGTTCCTTGTCAGCATTTGTTGTGTTGGATTTCAGAGGTTTTGATAGATGTGTAGTGATAGTTCATTGTTGTTTTAATTTGCATTTCCCGAATGACATATGATGTTAAGCATATTTTCATATGCTTATTGGCCATCTGTATATCTTATTGGGGATATCCGTGTGGATCTTTAGCCCATTTTTCAGTTGAGTTCTTTATTTTGTTACTGTTGGGTTTTAAGAGCTCTTTGTCTATTTTGAATACAAGTCCTTTATCAGATATGTGTTTTGCAAATATTTTCTTCCAGTCTGTGGCTTGTCTTCTCATTCTTTTGATAGTGTCTTTCACAGAGCAGACATTTTTAATTTTAATCAAGTTCCACATCAATTTATTCATTCATGAATTGTGCTTTTGGTGTTGTATCTAAAAACCCATTTGCCAAGCCCAGTGTCACCCAGATTTTCTCCTATGTTACCTTATGAAAGTTTTATAGTTAATGTACTTTACATTTAGGTGTATGATCCACTTTGAGTTAATTTTTCTGAAAGGTGTAAGGTCTGTGACAAAAGTCATTCTTTTATAAATGGATGTCTGATTATTCTAGCACTGTTTGTTGAAAAGGCTACCCTTTCTCCTTTGATCCTTTATTCAGGATAAGTTTATATGGGTCTATATCTGGGCTCAAGTCTATTCCATTTATATATTTGTTTATTCTTTCATTAACACCACACTGTCGTGATTACTGTAGCTTTAGAATAAATTCCAAAGCCAAGTAGGGTCAGTCCTCCAGCTCTATTCTCTTCCTTCAATATTTTGTTGGCTATTCTTGATCTTTTTACCTTTCTTTTATAAACTTTAGAGTCAGTTTGTCAATATCCACCAAATAACTTGCAGAGATTTTGCTTAGGATTATGTCACATCTATAGATCAAGTGGGAAAGAACTGACATCTCAACACCACAGTCTTTCTATCCAAGAACATGAAATATCTCTCCATTTATTTAGATCTTCTTTGATTTCTTTTCTTAGAATTTCATATTTTCCTCATACAGATCCAATACATATTTTGTGAGATTTATAACTAAATATTCCATTTGGGGGGTGTTCTTTAGCATTAATTTATGATGCCTTTTTATACATGTTTTATGTAATTCTCAAAACAATTTTATGCGGTAGCTACTATTATTATCCCATTTTTTTACAAATAACAAAACTGAGGTTCAAAGAGTTTAAGTGACCTGCTCAATGTCACACAGCTAATGAGTGGTAAAGCTGAGATCCGACACTAGGCCATCTGATTCCAGAATACCTGCCGTGAACAAGTTAGGGAAATCTACATGGAATGCTATCTACACGGAAGCATGTTTAAAAATCAGCAGAGGATACTGCCACTAAATTCTAGTTTGCTTTGGGTTGACTTATGACACGCACATACAGGGAACTCACGAAGTTCTTTGTTTCCTTCTCCAGAGACCGGAAGACCGGCCGGCCTTCTCCAGACTGTTGGGTCAACTGGCTGAAATTGCAGAATCAGGACTTTAGTAGAGACTCGGTGCCGGACCACGGGCTGCAGAGCCCGAATGAAGGAAGGGTGTCCTCCTTCCATGGAGCATTAGAAGCTGCCACCAGCCCAGGACTCTCCAGTGGCAGTGCGGCCTGTGGCGCCAGTCCCTGAGCTGCCACGGAGGCCGGACCCTGACTGCGACTGGCAGCCAGGCCACAGGCAGGAGCGTCAGCCACAGAGCCGGGACGCTGGCCAGGACGGAGGCCACGTCGCTGCCCTCCCTCCAGCCTCTTGTCACCTACGGCGCACAGACCTCAATCTGACCACTTTCAGGCAACATTTCTTGCACTTCTTAGCAATCGGGAGAGACAGGGGTAGGATCCCAGGTATTATTTTTATTGTTATTTGAAACATGGATCTGAAATGTATGGTTCAAACCAACGACAGACACGGTATCCCAGGATATCAAATGTATTGGAACCAACAGCACAGTACCCCAGGATATGGGGACAAGGGGAACAGGGACTATGACTCTTTTTCTAGAAAAACCGGTGAGTTAAAACTAAGGTCAGCAAGATGCTGGCAGCCACAGCTTCCTGCCGCAGAGGGTAGCAGAGCAGCTGTTCTCGCAGGAGGCCGGATTTTCTGAGAAGCCGCTTTATGAGGTTTTACAGAGTACACGGGCAGCTCTCTTCTCCAAGGAAGCATGGTGAGCTCCATTGGATGGATCGGGGTGAGCCGTTCAGATCCTGCATTTGGAGTGTTGGTGTCTGATGTCTGGGCAGGAACAAGAGGGCATCAGATGGGGGCAACCAAGTGGTCCCAAAATAAAAAGGGCCTTAGGTTTTGCCACTCCAGCGCTCACCTTGTACGCCATGCCGTGCAGGGCACTATGCGTCCTCTTCTGCACGGAATGCTTCTGCCGCCAGCCCAGGAGGAAACGGTACTGACTCTGGCAGATGAGTGTTCATTCTTTTCTCCAGCCTCTGGGAATCAGCCCCCTCGCTGCGCTATCCCGCTCTCATCAATAGAGGGCAGCATTGTGTTGATCAGTGAGGCATTGCAGAGCCATCGAAGCTTATTTAGGCCCCTTAGGGCAGGCGTCCTCAAACTACGGCCCCTGGGCTACATGTGGCCTGCCTGGTGTTTTTGCCCCCGCTGCCTGTCCTGCTTAGCAGCCAACTAATCCCGGGTCCGCGGTGCGCATGCGTGGAATGTGCACCGCACTCTCCAACGGCCCTCCAGCGGTCTGAGGGACAGGGAGCTGGCCCCCTGTTTAAAAAGTTTGAGGACCCTTGCCCTAGGGTTTAGCAATTTAAAGGTTGAGACCTCAAGACTCCCATTCTTGCTCAAACCATCTGGATGGAGACAGGCGCTGACTGAGGTGTTTCCAAGATGGACAAGGAAGCCTAGTGTTGACCGAGCATTCATATGTGCAAAGTGAATATGGTGACTGTGTACTGAGCTATCAGTTTTTCACCTTGAGTTCGCACCCCATGAGATAGTGTTATTATTCCCATTTTACAGATAATAGAACTGAGGCTTTAAAAAGCCAAGACACCTGCCCAAAGTGACAGAAACTAGGAAGTCCAGAACCAGGATTCTAGCCCAAATCTGACTCCAATGAATAGATTCTTCATTCCTGTTTGACACTGCTTCCTACTGAGAATGAAAGGGATTGCAGAGGAGATTAATACAGCAGAGTGGAAGGACACAGGAAGCCAATAAAGAAGTCAACATAGAACCACTGGCAAGTAATGTTGCTTTTGCACAGGCTATTGGCATTGGTTGTATGGCCCTTTAACTTGGACTAGGATCTTTTTCCTTGTCTGTATCTTCACCTTGGTCATAGTTTATAACTTTGGAGTCATTCAGTTAATTAACTCTTTAATTCTCCTAATCCACTAAAGTCTTGTTGCAGGAAGCCATTTATATATGAGTTTCCAAGCAGTTTTAAAAGATCTCCTGAAAAAGTATGAATGCTTCCTTTAATTATCATTCCAACTTTGAGCTGTAGTATCCTTGGATATTTTGTGGGGAAGAATATTCCCTTATGTAAGAAAGAATCAGTTCTCTTACAGTGCTCAGATAAAGCTTTTAGACAAATTATTGGATGGAGTTGCAATTAGCTCTTTCTATATCATGTAATATTTTGACTGGCTTGAGATTCAGACGCATAACTTTTAACTATAATTATTGCGAAATGGGGAGCCTCAAGATAAAAACTCTGTCATTCAGAAGATGATCATACTCAACTTATCCAAAATTATCCTTGTTTACTTTTAAGCATTTTGTACATTCTCTTTTGGAACCCGTAATTAGAGATGATTTCTGGAACATGCAGCCTAGAAGAAAAACATTGGAATTGACTGATCTCTGTGGTCTGGTTTAGAAAATTCCCCACTGCATAGTATTATCTTTTTTAAGCTCAGATTCACTGGGGCCTTAACTAAACATGTGTAGATATTTCACCTCCCAATGTCCTATCCCACAAAATGGGCTTCCTGCTTGGTTTTTTCCCTCTCACATTTTGTAAATGGTACCCTGTGCTCACAGAGAAGTCCTCTATACAAGGCTTTGGTTCTACTTGCATATTGTAGATTTTGAATTTTGTACCTTTTGACTGTGTATTTATATTTGGATCAGATGAATATTTATTAGTGTACAGTCACTGCTAGTGTTCAAAATAAAAATATTACAAATATCTCTTATTCTTTGTAGAGCGCACAAAGTTAACATCTGTATATAGCAAACAAAGCTGTGTTTTAATAAACATAGCAGGTGTGGCCTGGGTTCCATATTGACCCAAATGGCAAACTCTCAAAACCTTTCCTTAAGTACAAATAGTTGTATGATTTCATCTTCCACAGAGAAATAAAGACTATACACATTGTTCAACAACGTCAACTCAACAAGTAAATATCAAATGTTCCCTGTGTGTCATGCACTTGGCAGAGTATAGGTATGCTCATGGAAACAGTGATCAAAAAAGGCACAGTCTTTACTTTCCAGTCTGATCGACAAGGCAGACACATAAACAAATAAAATTATAATACAGCAATTAGCGTGACAACAGAAATATGGTCAAAGAAGAGGAGAGCCCAGAAAAAAGTGATGGCACCTACCAGGGGAGGGCTGACATCAGGGGAAATATTTACAGCCTTGCTACTCAAAGTGTGCCTGAAACAGCAGCAATAGCAGCACCAGCTTGTGAGAAGTACAAATGCTCAGGCATCCTCCTCACCTACTGAATATGAGTCTGCATTTTAACAAGATCCGCAGGTAATCAAATGCACATTAAAGTTTGAGAAGCACTGTCAAAGAGGATACAAGGTCAAACTCAGCTTTGAAGATGAATCATGGTTTTTTTGTTTTGTTTGTTTGTTTTTTTTAGATAAGCAAGTAGGTGGAAATAAAAGAAATATTTTCCAGGTAGAGGGAATAGACTATAGTGGGAGGCTATTATCAGTTCACTATTGCTGGTGAGAGAGAGAGAGAGAGAGAGAGAATGTGTGAGAGAGAGAGAGAGAGAGAATGCATGTGTTTTCTCAGCAAGGGTAAGGGTGGTAGAAGTGGGGGTGGGAAAATTGAAACTGAGACTATAAATCTAGGCAAAAACTATAATTGAAAAGACTAAGAAGTTGGAATTTCACTCTGTAGATAGAAAAGATGTCATTGCACAGGGAGAGAAGGTCAAATTTGCATTTAAAAACCACATTCTGGGAGCAGTGTGGTGAGTGGATTTGAGAAAGGCAAAGCTGGTGGAAGAAAAATCAATTTGGAGAGGATTTTTGCCTTGTTCACAGTACCAGATGATTGTTCACAGTCATTCACTGTCATCTGCTGTGTGGGTGACATACGGAAATTGTAATTCGGAGTTCTTCAGTCGCCGTTGGACAGCAATAAATAGCTTTTCTTCTCCGGCTTGAAATCCTAGTGAAATCAAGGCAGGGCTGCTCTAGCCTGGGTGTGTTGAGCACTCGGTATCTTTTACTACACCACATGCTCGTGTCCCTTGCAGGAGCCAGCTCACGTGCCAGTGGGCCACCAGGCAAGCATGAGAAAGCCTGTGGCTTCCATTTGGTCCCTGCTCGGACTCACCTCTAGGCTTGATTCCCACGGGCACATATTCCACACAAGAGACGTCTAAAGCAGGTTGGATAAACAGATCTGCTTTGGGGAGGATTTTTCCTGCAGACTCTACTCTCCTTGGAATCTTTTCACACATGAGCCCACCATTTATGGGAAGAGACAGAACGTAGCCCATTCAGCAAGACGGGGAGTGTGTGAGTCGGCACGTGACAAGGGAGCTGCATGTTCCTTAGTCAAAGGGCTCAGGAGGGTGATCTGATCAGGACGAGCAGGTTAGGGGTGAAAGCTGCATCTGCACAGGAAGCACATGTTTTTCACTTTAGAATGTATTTAATATATGAATTTGCAGTGGCTTTCAGGGAGGGGCTAGACATTTGGTGCACAAAAGTCCACTCCTCAGAGCCACCCCTTGGTGTTAGCACTAGGGGTGCGTGTGCGGGTGTGTATGACCCTGTCTACAATGACTTTGAGATTCTCCCCAAGGCAGGATGCATAGCTGGCTTGTAAGATAACAGAATCATGCAAATACCGAAAGGGGTTTTAGAGATCATTTAACTACCATCGCTCTCTGCTAAGCATAGGATCTAAAAAGATGTCTAAGATATCTTATCAGTTAGGGACCAAACGTGTCACTCTCAGATTAGGGTAATTCAAGGAGAGCTTCTTTACAAAAAAGGTCTGTTTAAAACTGTGTGGGTCAGGTTTAAGAAAACATTAGGTTTAAGAAAACCTTAGGAAGTGATACAGAGGAAAATAAAAGCTGAGAAGTAGTGTTATGGTTTGAATGTTTGAGTCCCTCTGATATTCTTGTTGAAACTTTATTCCCAATGCAATAGTATTAAGAGGAGTATGGGGCCTGGGAAAGGGAGAGAGGAAAAAAAAAAGAGGCAGGGCCTTTAGGAGGAAATTAGGTTATAAGGGCTCTGCCCTCATGAATGGGATTAGTGCCCTTATAAAAAGGCTTAAGAGGCCGGCCAAGGTGGCTCACACCTGTAATCCTAGTACTCTGGGAGGCCGAGGTGGGCAGATTGCTCGAAGTCAGGAGTTCTAAACCAGCCTGAGCAAGAGCGAGACCCCGTCTCTACTATAAATAGAAACAAATTAATTGACCAACTAAAAATATATATAGAAAAAATTAGCCAGGCATGGTGGCACATGCCTGTAGTCCCAGCTACTCGGGAGGCTGAGGCAGGAGGATTGCTTGAGCCCAGGAGACTGAGGTTGCTGTGAGCTAGGCTGATGCCATGGCACTCACTCTAGCCTGGGCAACAAAGCAAGACTCTGTCTCAAAAAAAATAAAAACAAATAAAAATAAAAGGGCTTAAGGGACTCTCTGTCAGTCTCTTTTTGCTCTTCCACCTGTCCACCATGTGAGGACACAGCAACAAGGTGTCATCTATGGAGCAGAGAGCAAGCCCTTACCATGTGCTAAGTCTTCCAGTGCCTTGATCTTGAGCTTCCCAGCCTCCAGAACTATGAAGAAATAGATTTCTGTTGTTTATAAATTACCCAGTATTTTGTTATAGCATCCTGAATGGACTGAAAGAAATAGTTACCACCCCTAG